TAGTTCCAAGATAGGAGAACTGTGCTATCTCCTGAAAATAAGGATATATTCCATTTTGGATCTGGTTGATCCACATACTCATACATGCATGGGTACATCACATGCATATGCTAGTGATTTATTGTTTTATGTCCCATATCAAAGTGGTCATATATTTGTCAGACACGGACACTGGAGGAGGAAGCATATCCAGCACTTGATGAACTGACTTCTAAAATCAGCACACTTAATCTGGAACGTGTTAGACAGATAAAAAGTCGTCTGGTTGCCATATCAGGTCGCGTGCAAAAGGTAATTGATGTATCATCTTGTAGCTGTTTTATTTTAATATTTCAGATGATGAATAAGTGATTATTGGACATTGGAAATCAAGTGAATATATATTATTGATAGCAATAAATATGTTACATTTCAAACAGTACAATGGTCACTTGTATCTGATATACATTGTTTCTGGGATGAGAACATGAAAATTCTTTCCTAAAAAAGAACATGATGTTTTCTTGGCTGTTTAGTTTGTTCCTTTTTTTTTCCCCTCTATCATTTTGTTTTGTTCACATTCCATTACCACAAATCACGTTGATCATCCTACATATTTGTTTGGTTCTTCCGAGGAGAATGCTTTTGTTCCCGATTCATTCATAGATGGTGATGTTAAATCGAGGATCCACATTTTTCTTTTTTAACTTTTGCGTGGCAATTGTTTTTTCCTTTCTAGGTAATGATATTGAATATATTGTTCATTTTCCGAAGCTGCGTACTTCTTTTGTCAATCTTTTTCTCTTTTTAGTTATTTATGCATACACCTTTTTGTTTCCGATAGCATTTGCCTATAAGTGGTCTTAAAGTCACTTCTATAATCTGTTTTCGGTACTTCTCTAGCAGCTGAAATTAAGGGTTCAATATGCTGCATATTATACATGTTGGATGTTGTTCTTTGTGCTTATTGGTAATTTTGTCTAATCATTCTCCTGTTATCTACAGGTGAGAGATGAACTTGAACATTT